GAAGGTTAGCTGAAGGCAACGAGTCCATCTGTACAGCTATGGGAAGTCATTGTCCACACTGGGGCAAAACTGGTACTAAGATGGCTATGGCATTCCCTGTGCTCATGTAAGTAGCCGCTCATTCACAGTCTGTGTGTAAGCCCTGCAAACTCTTTGATTTCCAGGTTGGGTTTTGATAGAACTGTACTTTAATTTGTCATCAAGCCCTAAACAGAGGGGGTAGATGCTTGGTTATGTCTCCCCAGGAAAAAGTTCCCACAACACAATGATCCTCCTAACCCACAGGCACGTGCCTTGAGAGGCATATTGGTTCGTGAGGCACTCCATGATAGGGTCTTTCAGTAGCCAGAGTCACTAAGACAGACAAGGGTCACAGGGCTAGGAAGGAGGGAGGGAATTGAGGAAACTCTGGAGGTGGACGGTGGTCCAGTCACATGCCCGTGTTTAGTGCACCAAAGGCTTTAAGGAGTTTATGCAGTTTTAATAGAGCACAGAGCACATCTGAGGCAAAGCGTGGGAACTACGCACGCAGCAGAAAGCATCCAAAAGGATCAGATATTAGAGCTCCTGAAGCTGGGGAAATACGAGGTGCAACAAACCGACACCCAGAACAAGAAGGGAAAGAAATGAATATGGCCAAAGGTATTTCAAAGTTCCCCTCAGTGCAAACAGAAACTCCAGTGTGACCTGTTAGCAGCTTCTCTGGTCATAAGCCAGGCAAGACTCGGCACAGGTGGTCCTAGCTGGTCTTCTGAGGAAGAGATATGAATGTGTCTAACAACGCATTTTAAAAAAATATATTTATTTTCATGTTATATGCATGACTGTTTTGACTGCAAATATATATATATATACATATATATGTATATATATGTATACACACACACACACACACACACACACACACACACATCCACCACACAGATACACTACTTCCGTGCCAGAAGAGGGCTCTGGATACCTGGAACTGAAGTTACAGACGGTTGTGAGCTGCCATATGGTGCTGGGAACCAAACCTGGGTCCTCTGCAAGAGCAGCAAGTGCAAAAAGTGCTCTTGACTGCTGAGCCATCTCTCCAGTCTCCCTCAGCCCCATCCAACCACAGCATTTTAACTGTGCTTGTGAACAATCTAACACCCTGGTAGGAAAATGATTCCAAAATGGCAGGCCTCCCATGTATGTCAGTCAGCCACGGCATATCGAGTTGCAGTAAGACTTGGAGGAGAAAAGGGAGGGGAAAGAAGGGAGGAGGGCGGGAGAGAAAACTGATTGGGCTAGAAAAAATTAATAAATAATAAAAAAGAAATAAAAAGAAAATGATTCAGTAAACTAAGGCATGCCATGTCTCCATTTATATTATGTTTCTGAGAAATCTCTATGCAGCAGAAATATTTGTGGGAGAATTTAAGGAAAAGATAAACTTCCTAGTAAAATGTTCAGCTGTGCCCCCTCCAGCTGCAGGCCCCCCACCCCATGTTCTGCCCACTCCATCCCCTGTCTGTCTGCCTACTCCTCAAGCACGTGGATTTCCGGCAAAAGTACTGCTAGAGAGCACCTCCCTCCAGGGACATGCGCAGACTTCCCAAGGTTGAGAGACTCTGAGCGGGGTGCTCTAACCCTGTGTGATTTCAAAGGTTGTGCTAACTACAGTCACCCCCCACTTAAAAGTTACATTCTCTGCGTGTGTTTGTGTATACATACACACACCACAGCCTACATATGGAAGTCAGAGGAAAACTTGAGAAAGGTGGTCCTCTCCTCCCACAGTGGGTCTTAGGGATCAAACTCAGGCTGACCAGCAAGCTGACCAGCAAGCACCCTTACCCAGGGAACCATCTCACCAGCCCAGCTGCAGCCTTTGAAGTTGCTGTAAGCTGTTTGACTCCTAGAACAGAACTATCATTTCTTTTAACCCTGGCCCTGGCTCACCAATGTTTTTCTTCAGTCAGGCTGACTGCATGTGTAGCCCACTGCTGATAGCCTTCCAGCCCCACCTCCTCCTACGCTCTGGACAGGAGTGGTCAGCTCAGCTCTCGGCAGCACCCAGCCTCTCCTTTATTATGACTGTGGAGACCCCTGCTCGGGCCAGGAAACCAGGGGAGAATCTCTGGGAAGCAGAGAGACACACTAAGGGAGTCTGGTCACCTCTGTGCTATCTCACATCAGTGACGCCAAGTTGGCTAAGAGCCTGTTCTGGCTTCAGGCTGGCTGCATCTTCTCCCTCTTGGGGTCCCCAAGGTGACAACTTTGGAGCACAGGGCCACCCTTCTGATCTGCTGTAGACTACAAGTAAAGCCCCTACATCTCAGGTGCCAGACGGGAGCCTGTAAGACGGGCGGGATGTGTCACATACAGCCAATCCCGGTCGGTTGGGGGAGTCTATGGCAAGTTTGGTGCCAGCCTCTTGCACAGCCTGAGCTACTAGGCAACCCAGAGGTGGTCCCCGGGTGCTCCTAGTGCTCCTAGTGCTCTCTGCAGAGAGCCCTGCTCTATAAAACTCAGGCAGCATCTCTGATCCTGCTGTTTGCAGCTCGTCAATTATGGCAGGCTGGAAAGCCTTCATTCAGTTCAAACTTTTATGTAATGCTGCCAGTCAGGAGCTGGTGAGCGCTTCTCCCTGCTGAGTTCTAGTCTATCACTCCACTCCAAAGTTGGGCCTGGGTTTGTATATGCAGACAGATTCTGGAAACTGTTGTGGTCACTCTGGCTATTGGGACCTCAGCCAGATACTTTGTCCAAGATCAAGGGTGCACTTAAGGGGTGGGTGGGTGTGGATTGTTCCTGACTACAGTTCACACTTCTAAAGTTTATTGTTTACTTAACAAAGAAACCAGCCAACTGATAGCCCTTGCTGACCTGCTTAGCTGGTACTTGGAGACAAATGTCTTTTTTTGATTGCCAGCCTAGGGGAAAAGTACAAGAAAGTTTCCAGTAAGGGACCATTGAGGAAAATAAGCACCTTCCTTGTCATTTGTCTACAGCTTTCCTGTGTTCATACTGGGGAGCACTTCATATATGATCTCACGAGAGCCTGTGGATAGGAGGTCATGGCTACCAAAGGATATCCACTCCCTCACTGTCTTCTTCCTCCTCTTTTTTCCAAGACAGGGTTTCTCTGTGTAACAGCCCTAGCTGTCCTGGAACTCACTCTGTAGGCCAGGCTGGCCCCAAACTCACAGAGATCCGCCTGCCTCCTGAGTGCTGGGATTAAGGGCGTGTGCCATCACCACCCAGCCTTCTGCTTCTGGAAATCTCCCTACTTGTGACAGTGATGTGACACCTGCTTGGGAGTCCTCGGTGCTCAACACCTAGGACAGCCTGCCTCATAGGTGCTCGGAGGGGTCAGGAGTATCTGGTTGGAACCTCCATCTCGCTCCTGCATGATCGGAAAGTCTCATCCTTGTCTCTCTCTCCAAGCGCTGCCCACTCAGAGTCTCCAAGGAAAAAGCGCCCAAAAGCCCGGTTCCGCATTCTTGGTGACTATTCCAGCTTCCTCCTCTGTTGCCACCAGCAGCCCAGATTCCTGCCTATGCAGTCAGCTTTTGACCATACTTGGGCACAAAATCTGCTTGCGGTGAACACGTCATCACTTCTTGCCTACCACCTATAAAGTTTCCCTGCTATAGTTCGGGGGTGCAGCTTCTCCAGCCCTGATCTCTAGAACTGGAGAACTCACCCAGGAGTCGCCTTCCTCAAAGAAACCTGCTATTATACTTTTTCAGTTCAGCTTGTTCTGGCTTACTGTGTCGGTGGAGAATCTTATTATCTGGAGGCAGAATACCTATTAGTATTTTCAAACAACTTTTCTGCTGTGGGCCAAGTTTGGGAACTGCAGAGTGTACTGAAGAGGAGAAGTATGTTTTCTTGGCAATCTGTTGCTCAGATCCTGAATGCCCCAGCCAGCCCAGAACATGGCTAAAGGCAAGCACCAGCTGCCAGCACCAGGGCATCCCTTAGGAAGGGCCTGTAAGAACCTCAGTGTTGTTACCACGGAGAACTGGTGAAGGAAAGTTCATAAAGGGGCAGATGTCGACTGCTGTCTTGGCACTTTTATTGCTGTGAAGAGACACCATGACCAAAGCAACACTAACAGAGGAAAATGTTTAGTTGGGGTGGTGGCTTACAGTTCTGAGGTTCAGTCCATTATCATCATGGCGGGGAGCACAGCAGTGTGCTGGCCAACATGGTGCTGGCTACATCTTGATCAGAAGGCAACAGGAAGTAGACTCAGTGTCACAGTGAGGAAAGCTTGAGCAAAGGAGACCTCAAAGCCCGCCCCCACAGCGATACACTTCCTCCCACAAGGCCACACCTCCAGTGCCACTCTTTTGGGGGCCATTTTATTTCAAACCACCCAACACTGAAAAAAAAATAGACCATGTACTGTATAGTTTTATATCAACCTACACAAGCTAAAATCATCTGAGAGAAGGGAACCTTCATTAATAAAGCGCCTTCATAAGATCAGACTGTAGACAAACCTGAATGGCATTCTCTCTCTCTCTCTCTCTCTCTCTCTCTCTCTCTCTCTCGGGTTTCTCTGTGTAACTGTGTAACAGTCTTGGCTGTCCTGGAACTAGCTTTGTAGACCAGGCTGG